TGTTCTTCTTCTTCTTCTTTTCATAATTCACTCTCGATGTGTCGTACTCTCTGTGTGTAATAAATACAAAGTCTGTCTCACGTGTATCGTGTCTGCGTTTTCGTGCGCGCGTGTGAGTGTGGGTGTGTGTATATATACGTGTATCGATCGTTTGAGTATGTATGTTCGATGTACATATCCTCTGAAAACAAGTTGCGCGTTCGTCGATTTCTCTCTCTCGTGCATTCTCCTATCGTGTGTATCAGCCGCGAATCGATTAGAAAAATTAAATATCCCGCGTGTACACACGTACACGCGTCTATATATATGTGTATGTATACAATTAAAAGGAACACGATGTTGATTCTTTTTGTGCGCCAAGGTGCATGTCGTTCTTTTCCTCTTTTCCTCGTTTCTTTCATTTTCTTTCACGTTCTCGTTCGTTAGAATGTACGCGCGATTAAAAAGGGACGCGTTCGGCCCTTTCTCGAAGGTCTCGGCGTCTCGTCTGCTAAGATTAGTGATACCGTATGTATATTATAGTCGTTCGGTTAACGTCGTTTGCGTTACACAGGCTTCATGAGAGCGTTCGAGATCAACGAAACGTGACGAAAGCCGCCACGATTTTCAAAAAAGGGGGGGGGGCTTGCTACTTCGTAATCTAGAGATTAACATTTACGCAGGTTTTTTTCTTTTTCTTTTCTTTTTAATTAGCCCGTGATCACCGGAGATAGTAACAATTGTCCTATTTTGCGAGGTATCGGTTACAAAGATTTCCCTTTCCTTTTCTCGATTCGTTTCGGTGCTCCGTGTTACGATTCAATTAAAAAGGAGATCGCCGCGGAGCAACGCGATCAATTCTCGAAAATTTCCATTCTCGTATGTGTGTATGTTCGTGTGTATTCGTGTCTCTCACTTTCTCTCAAACTTTTTTCTTTCGATAATTACATACATGTCTTCGTGTATAAATGCGTGTGTACAATGTGTAGTCCAAGCACGTGTGTGTGTGTGTGTGTGTGTGTGTGTATGTGTGTCATATGTGTGCTTGTCGTTTCAATTTTAGCTTCTAGTCCAACGCCATAACGTTCTACATAGACAATAATAAATACACGACCACATATATATGTAAATATAATATTGTAAATCTATAATAATAATAATAATAAAAATAAG